CCGGGACGCGGGACGCTTGGGCACCGGTGCGGGTCAGCATCGCGCCCACCTTCCCTGCCCGGGCCCGAAAGTTGCCTCCTCCAGCCCACCAGTTTGCAAAGTCGGTGCCTCCCTCCCCGGTGCCTTCCTCGCCCGCCGCCTCCGCGGGGCTGGGGATGTGAGTCCTGCCGCGGTACCAGGAGTGCGCGGCCTCTGTGATAAAGGCGCCCCGATCGCAAGCGCACCGGTGCGGGTCAGCATCGCGCCCACCTTCCCTGCCCGGGCCCGAAAGTTGCCTCCTCCAGCCCACCAGTTTGCAAAGTCGGTGCCTCCCTCCCCGGTGCCTTCCTCGCCCGCCGCCTCCGCGGGGCTGGGGATGTGAGTCCTGCCGCGGTACCAGGAGTGCGCGGCCTCTGTGATAAAGGCGCCCCGATCGCAAGCGGTATTGAGATCTTGGGTCCTTTGGAGAAAAGTAAACAACATCCTAGAGGCTTTTTGCATCTTGAGAGTCTTGGAGTTAGATGCCCCCGCCTGTATGAGAAAGAGGGCTTTTTTTTTTTTTTTTTTTTTTTTTTTAGGTGATCGGGGAAGGGATAAAAACACACGCTATTAATTTAGGAAGAAGACTAGAGTGTAAAGTTAGAAAAAATTATGAAAGAGGTCTGCTTTTTTTTTTTTTTTAACCCAGGGTAAAATGAATTTGACTTTCGGTTTCCTTCTGAATTTAGGCAGCAGAGCAGACCACCCGCGAAAATCTTACATTAGAAAAATCGTTTTGAGAGACCTGGAATGTTTGTTAATGGGAATTGGGTTACTTTGCAAAACCAGTACATAAGGCGCAAGGAAACAAAGACTTGACTGACAATGAGGATATTAACTCCCTCCTTAGCTGCTTTTTAGCTCTTAGTGGTGTGTTGGTTGCATTGTAGGCCGGAAAAGGAATAGATAAGTCCTTAGATCTGATATTAAGAAGCAGGTTGTCCTAAAGATAATGCTTTCCACCTTTGCTTTTAAACAAATCAATATTACCGTTTTCCTCCAGGAAACAAAAAACATCTACTTGAACTACCAAACCACAACATAAAGGTAAAGATACTCAGAGTAAGGGAGTCTAGGAAGCAAGTATAAAATCTTGACTGGGTGAGCGTGGGAGGATGGAACTGAAAATAAAATATAACTTAGATTCAGCCTTTACCCTATTGCTCTGCATTTAGTAAAACATGTTTCTCCAAGCCCCTTAATGCTTGAAACCCTTAGGAAAATAAGGAAACCATCGATTGAGCCTACC